CGTACTAAGGAGCCATTCACGTATAATTTTTACGTTGAATATAACCATTTCTCCTCTAATTGAGTGAAACGGTACTGATTTTTTCTGAAGTCCCTTAAACCGTTCCTGCAGCTAAATGTTACCAATATAAGCTGCAACTTAAAGACCACAACGGATCCACCCAAAATTTTATTTCTATCGTCGTCATGATCTAAATTATTGTAACTGTTAGCAAGGTAATCATGATTTGCCACTAGGATAATGAATACAGCAAGTGTAGCTTCGATCACGATTATTGGATTTTATTACCTAAAAGGTTGATGTCTGTATAAGTGTTTAAATTAGGAAATAAGCCATATTTTCGTAGTTTACACATAGCATAGCTTCTTCGTTCGTTGCTGCCACGCTGTATGCGGACACAAAAGTAGATAAGGATTTAGTTTCATATGCCGGATAATTTTTCAGGTAGTCGTTCCTATAATCTGGACGACTAACCCATAGGATGCAGAATGGAGCCACATTACGAATTATATTCTCATCTGGATATAAGTTAGTTATTAAGTTAAGTCCCGATTTTTGCAAATAAATGAGCGCAGATTTCATCCCTAGAAAAGTATTTCTATCCAAGGCTAACTGCGGTTTTAGCTTGGGAGAGCAGGGAATTATTTGAAATCTAATCTGGAATGGGAATATATATTTGTATTCGCTGTCGGACTCGGGACTGGGGATTTTGCGCTGAAACTAATTAAAGGCGTATGGATTAGGCTTCCCATAGTTTAACACTGATCAAGTGAGGTTCTCATCCTTGCATTCAAAAGCAAAGCCGGATGGCAGTTACAGCTACCAAATTTAGGACTACGACTGATTTTTTGCGGGGTATGTGTATATTTATGTACATGGAAACAGTCGTGTCTATGACTTGGAGATCAGGCAGATATTTATGCATATAGCCAGTTAAATTCGAATCGATCTACAGCCAAAACCGCTGGTCCCCTGCTCCAACCGGCCAATCCCCCCTGTTCCCATCGACTGCGGAATATGAGCGAGGGGGGCCAATTCCAAATTTCTCGGCGGTCTAGCCGACAGACTGGGTTACCAAGTGGTGGATCCCAGGGCAATTGGCACACAGCTACAGGTCGGCCAGTACTCAGCTCCCAGATGCCAAAAGCAGCAGAACCATCGATACTACCATGTATATTCGAGCAGATGGGGCTGGCCAAATGGGTGAGTGAAGCTTGGTCCACAACTGGACAAGGAGGCACTAGTGAAGGGGAAGCTGTGACAGGGCGACCAGGAGGGGAAGTATCCTGTCTCATAATAAGCGGGTTTAAATACTCCATGGCAGGTTGACTTGGCCATCGGTCGTCCCATAGCTGGACAATGCCGTTGCGCCGGCCTACCAAC